ATTAGCTTATATTGCATGCTTGATGTAATGCTCTATTATGCATGTGTAAGGTTATTTTAATAGAAACTCGCTCTCATATATCATTGGTTAAAAGATAATCAAATTTTTTGTATTTCATACACTTAGTAAATATTCCCAGTATACTCAAAATCGGACAATATATATCAAATTATATCACATGTCCTTTAAGTCACATTATTAACCGCAAGAAGTTATTTTAGGATGCGTTCCTCTGGAGTGATCTGGATCAGGAGTTATGATCCATGATTGGTCGCAGTGAATCAAAGAAAGCAAAGACTCCACTCTAGACAAGGATTCATCGTTTCCTTTGATTCACCAAGATCCAAGTGATTGTGGTAAATCCTGATCCAGATCATCCTAAAGGAACACACTATAATAGACATATATAGACCAGAGAGCTTTTTACATAGGGTAAGCCTTGCTTTGATTTTACTTTAGATTTAGGGTGTTAGAAATCCTAAGCATCTATCTAAAATGTTTACCTTAAAGCCATCAATTAACTAAATAGGTAGTGAAATGCTAGCATTTCTGTAAAATTGTGGCTATGGAATAACTGCAATTGTAACAAAAAGTCAATGGTATCAATAAAAAATCAGACTTGAATGAGAAATGTATGTTATCAATCTAACTCAATCTAGTGGAGTCTCTTAACTCTGCCTATCCCGCTATTTACGGAGGTTGAACCTCAGCAAAACCGGGTCACTCTTCCCCTTCTGGGTTCAACCTCTATCTAAAGGAGAAGGGAACGTTCAGGGACTGGACTCAGTCAGTGTGCCAATAAGTAGTAAGTCGCACGAGGATGCCACCCCCCTCCACCCTCCAGCCCGTTTCTAATATATCCCCTCAGGTCGATGGTAGACAATAAAATTCCAAACATAACACATGATTATTGTGGGAGTAACTTTATATAGTGCTTTAAACTTCCGTTTAGAGTTATCCTCACGCTAAATTGGATTGATTCAAATACGGAGCTTTTCGGAAAAATGTTAGACACGGTGCAAGATTTAGCTACATAAATGTTCTGTTTGCATTTTTACGTCCGTTGTTCGTTAGTAGAAAATGAAAGGCATATTTCCTATTTTGTGCTCCACTCAGAAAGAAGAGAAGCATTCGTTTTAACAATAAATAACAAATTCATTTTTTTGTTTTTTCCTCTTCTATCCCAAATAGAAAAACACACATCTGTCAATAAGTCAAATCAAAGAACGTACACGCTTCAACGCAAATCTCTCAAACTAAAAGATGAGTATCCAAAAAGTTTCGGAGCCTTAACATTTGAATCAACTATCCATTACATTTAAGAGTTAATTCGTATTCTTTCGGCATATTTTGCCGAAAGCTCTTTAAAGTTTTGAAAGAAAAGCTTAAGAGGAAATTTTCTATCGAATTAACTCGAAAGAATGTAGAAACCTATCCTTGATAAACTTCGACGGCAAACATATATAGACTTTTTAATTGAAGCTAA